GTGTCTGTCTCTGTGTGTGTGTACATGTGTGTCTGTCTCTGTGTGTGTGTACATGTGTGTCTGTCTCTGTGTACATGTGTGTCTGTCTCTGTGTGTGTGTACATGTGTGTCTGTCTCTGTGTGTGTGTACATGTGTGTCTGCCTCTGTGTGTGTGTGTACATGTGTGTCTGTCTCTGTGTGTGTGTACATGTGTGTCTGTCTCTGTGCGTGTGTACATGTGTGTGTCTCTGTGTGTGTGTACATGTGTGTCTGTCTCTGTGTGTGTGTACATACGTGTCTGTCTCTGTGTGTGTGTACATACGTGTCTGTCTCTGTGTGTGTGTACATATGTGTCTGTCTCTGAGTGTGTGTACATGTGTGTCTGTCTCTGTGTGTGTGCGTGTGTACATGTGTGTCCGTTTCTGAGTGTGTGTACATGTGTGTCTGTCTCTGTGTGTGTACATGTGTGTCTGTCTCTGTGTGTGTGTACATGTGTGTCTGTCTCTGTGTGTGTGTACATGTGTGTCTGTCTCTGTGCACATGTGTGTCTGTCTCTGTGCACATGTGTGTCTGTACATGTGTGTCTGTTTCTGAGTGTGTGTACATGTGTGTCTGTCTCTGTGTGTGTGTACATGTGTGTCTGTCTCTGTGTGTGTGTACATGTGTGTCTGTTTCTGAGTGTGTGTACATGTGTGTCTGTCTCTGTGTGTGTGTACATGTGTGTCTGTCTCTGTGTGTGTGTACATGTGTGTCTGTCTCTGTGTGTGTGTACATGTGTGTCTGTCTCTGTGTGTGTGTACATGTGTGTCTGTCTCTGTGTGTGTGTACATGTGTGTCTGTCTCTGTGTGTGTGTGTACATGTGTGTCTGTCTCTGAGTGTGTGTACATGTGTGTCTGTCTGTGAGTGTGTGTACATGTGTGTCTGTCTCTGTGTGTGTACATGTGTGTCTGTCTCTGTGTGTGTGTACATGTGTGTCTGTCTCTGTGTGTGTGTACATGTGTGTCTGTCTCTGAGTGTGTGTACATGTGTGTCTGTCTCTGTGTGTGTGTGTACATGTGTGTCTGTCTCTGAGTGTGTGATGTGCACAGGGGGGTAGCACCTAATTCTGGGCCCCGGGTACAAACAGTCTCAATGGGCCCCCACAATATATATATATATATATATATATATATATATAATTTAATTAGTTAATACAATTCTGATTCATGTCCTTTGGTTTTATTATCATCAGTATTGTTTACAATATTTTTTATTACCCTCATGTAAAAAATTAATTGAGTAGCCTGTATATACAATTAACATTGCTTTATTTTCAAACAACGGCTTCACCAGGTTGATAACAGTAGTACCATGTCCATTTTATTTATTAACAGGGACAAGCCCAAAAAAAGGTAAACATTTAACAAAAACTAGAACTACACTGTTTGAGAACCATCAATGTAGTACAAAGATAAATGTATGGTCAATGTTTATCAAAAGCCCACTGACGGGTCTTTGCATTTGCAAAGTTTCTGATCAGGTCTTTAAAATCCAGGTTTTTGGCCAACTGACTTTCTATGGAGAGTATTGCAAGGCTGTTCAGTCTCTCTTGGGACATTGTGGATCTTAAATAGTAGTGAGTCACTACTAGTGCCTTCATCTGGCCATGATGCTTCTCTTCCTGAAACTGAAATAAAGTAGCTTTAATGGGTTGCAAACAGATACTATATTCCATCATTACAGTGTATAGCTATTACGTATATGCCTGCATGCCTTTATGTGATATGTGTATATGGCTATTCATATAAAATATATAGTATATCTTATCTCATTTGTATGGACCATGAGTAGGTAAGTTACTTATTTGTTATTGTACAAACATACAACAAAATACTTTTTATGGTTCATTATTATCCAATTTAGACTTTGTGGCAAAATTCAATCGATGCAATCTTTTTTGAAATAAGCCTATTCCATTTTCAACTGAACACCTGTGCCTAGCCTTACTCCGCCCACATGAACATTTGACATTTTTCTGTAAAAATGGCACCAGTGGAGAAGAAGGGGGGCTTACTTAATCAGTAACATCAGCAGCTTTTTACCATCTAAAAAACATTGCCAGGATCAAAAACATAGTGTCTAAAGCAGACCTGGAGATTCTTATCCATGCATTTGTCTCCAGTAGGTTAGACTACTGCAATGGCCTGCTCACAGGTCTGTCCAAACAGGCTGTAAAACAGCTGCAGTACATTCAAAATGCAGCAGCTCGAGTCCTGACTAGAACCAGGAAGTACGACCATATTAGTCCTGACTAGAACCAGGAAGTACGACCACATTAGTCCAGTCCTCAGGTCTCTGCACTGGCTTCCTGTGGCTCAGAGAATAGACTTTAAAACAGCTCTCCTGGTGTACAAGTCTCTCCATGGCCTCGCACCAAAATATATTAGTGACATGTTAGTCCCATATGAACCAGCCCGGACTCTGAGGAGCACAGGGACTGGACTCCTGTTAGTGCCCAGAGTCAGAACTAAACATGGGGAGGCTGCTTTTCAGATTCATGCTGCTAAAATCTGGAACAGTCTTCCTGAAGATGTGAGACAGGCCTCCTCTCTGACTATGTTTAAAACCAGGTTAAAGACAGTTCTGTTTAACTGTGCATAGAACTGAGGGATTTTATATTTCTATCTTTCTTTTTAATGTTCTGTGATAATTTATGATTTTAATGCTTTCTTGTTTTGTTCAGCACTTTGAATTGCCTTGTGTATGAATTGTGCTATATAAATAAACTTGCCTTGCCTTGCCTTGCCTTACAGTTGGGCATGGTCTGGGCTGTGATTGTCAATTGTCATTTCTGGCTTAAAAGCAATAGTTCACACCAGAAAGTCTCATTTCACCCTTGTTTACACACTAAGATAATTGTAGAGCTAGAAACCTTTAGACTATTAGACTTATTTAAATTTGTTTGACCACTAGATGTCACCAGAAAACTCCAAATCGGTGCGGGGCGTGTGATTTGTATGGTTATAACCAGATGATCCAATGCAGAGGCCAGTGAGTGACCCGTGACTTATGACTGCAAGACTCACGGACGGACAGATTATGACAATAGTGGGAATATAGGGTACAGGGTTGTACATGAAAATAACTCTTTGCTGCCTGCCTTTGAAGGAGAAGTGGACAGCAGTGTGTGTGAGCTCCCTTTACAGCTGCGCGTCTGTGTGTGTCACTCTGGTTAACGTTTTTTTTTACCACGTACACGGCACACTGTTAGCTCTCCGTGCGTTTAGAATACAGAAACAAATGTCTCTGGGTTTTCTCCTGATGTGGCCTTTACACGTCTCTATTTACTCACCTCTCGTGTGGAAGAACTGAGTAAGCAATTGCTTGCCCTCATTACACTTTTTCTCCCTGTCCTGTCTTTCTTTTCTTTTCTGAAATCCTGATTTTCCTTTCTTTGGAAAAGACATTTCTATTTTTCCCGCTTCTGCCGCTGCTCAAACAAGTCAACTCGCTGCAGCGGCAGCAACACAGCAACAAGCGCACATGTGGGTCGTACCATTTGATCTTTTGTAAGGGGGTGGCAGGGCCCTGATATAGCATACACATTTGTTTTTAGAGGAAAACTGAGGTTATAACGTTGGTTATTTTTATACAGGGCCCCTTTCATTCAAATTGTAATAATATGAATATACCACAATGCCTAATACATATAAATATAAAGACACACTTTAGAGGGCCCCTCCCCGCCTTGGGCCCTGGGTACTCGGTACCCTTTACCCCCCCCCAGTCCGACGCCCATGGATATGCAGCAGTTCTGTGAATAATTATAGCAAACCTTCATATGAGATAGAATTAAAAACGTCTCATTTTGATAAATACTTGGGGCGGGGCCTAACGAAACCGACGTGCGTGTGCGTGTGCGCGTGTGCGTGTGTGTGTGTGTGTGTCTTACTCAGGGTCCTGTGGTTCCTCCTTTATGTCCCTGAGCTCAGAGTCTTCCTCCAGTTTCACGTCTGCCATGTTCCACAGGGTTAGCTCCTGTTAGCTCCTGTTAGCTCCCGTTAGCTCCCGTTGGCTCCTGTTAGCCTGTTGTGATAATTCCGTCTCTTTTTTACTTTATTAGCTTTGTTAGCCCCCTCCTGTTAGCTCTTTCCTGTTAGCTCTCTTCTGTTAGCTCCTTTAGCTCCCTTCGTGCTCGTGAAGAATCGTCTTTTGATTCTGGAGCTCCTCGCTGTTTCAGTTCACTGTGTGAAAACGCGACTACAGGGCGCATGCGCACTATCATGATCTGGAGTAATACTGTCGTCATGGACACCGGCGGCCATCTTGTGACTGTAAGAGCAGCTGCCCAGCGTCAAGAGAAGAGAAAGTCTGTACCTTTCATTGTATCTGCTGTAGAATTTCACATTTTATTTATGTATTTTGACCAAAAACAGTGCATTAAAAAACAAGTTTTGCAAAGGTGAAGCAGACACTTGTACATTTCCAACCCCCTCTCACACATACAGCAAAACACAAAATACAAATTACACTAACACTGTACATTTACATCATTATATCAAATTAAATAAACAAGACGCACAAAGACAAGACGCACACTCGATCTCTCACTCACACAGACACTGGCCCAAACACTCTCTGACCACACACCTCTCTCCCACCGCTCTGTCCAGACACTGGCCCAAACACTCTCTGACCACACACCTCTCTCCCACCGCTCTGTCCATGCCCAGACACTGGCCCAAACACTCTCTGACCACACACCTCTCTGTGGACGCCTCGGACCGAGACACACACAGATTTTAACGTCGTCCTAAATGTAGGTACATAGAATAGTTTGTTTCCTCTTAATCTGTAATCATGATGAGCGTCGATATCGCTGAAAGGATTATTTAAATTGGACGGCAGCAGGGCTAAACTGGCCATCGGGCGTACCGGGCAATGCCCGATTGGCCGATGCCCATATTTGGGCCGGTCTGTCTGCCTCATACAAAAAAATTGTTTGTGAAAAGTGTAAATCCGTTGAGAAATGTTCGCGGCTCAGCGGCCGCAGTGTTCCCGCATCCAGCGGCTCTGAGCCTGACTCGGGAACTGCTCACTGCTCACAACACAACACGGTGAGCGCGTTTCCGCAACATAACCATGTACCCAAGACCATAAACGTGCACAGGACCATTCGTGTCTTTGCGTAATTTGTGCACCCATAAACACACCGCTGCAGAAAACAGTCTGCGTCTCCCCTCTCCTCTCGAAGCGTGACTAAATTAAAGCTTGGTTACCTACATTTTCCATTGCATTTAAAGTTCATGTTTGAGCGCAAAAGTAAAATGTAAACAAATAAAACAGATTTAGTGACAGCCAATGGCTGACATTATGCATTTCAGTCTTTTTTGACCAATTCTCATCCCTGTAACAAACAACAGTGTTGTCTGTTGTCTCCCTCACTCTGAGACATGTTTATTACTCTGTTTAATGTAGACTATTGCACTTTATTTTAGTGTTGAAACTGCAGACATCTTGATCCTCTACAGCAGACATGGGCATTCTAAGGCCCGATAAAAAAATAAAATAAAATTATCAATCGTTCATTTCATCTTGTCCCTGCAATGCTCACGTTTCCCCAATAGATGGCGCGCTGACCATTGGCGGGCCTTTTGGAGTGTCTATTTTTCCTCTTTATTAGACCCAATCCCAATACTCACACTGCACCCTACACACCTCTACGAAGTGTGCATTTGTTCGAAGTGCACACCAGGGTTGGAGTGCGCAGGTTACAAGCGTGCACAAAAGGCAGAATTGGGACAGTGCACACTGAGTGCAGGTGACGTCATCGACTCGTCAAGAGATGGTCATTTTCAGACCTAAACTTTATAAACATTAAAGGTCATTTTGTCTGACCCTTTGGAAAACAAAATAAATTGCTCCACACACGTTAAATATACACACGTATATTAGTTGTTTTTAATTAGAGATAGCTGTATAATGTTAAGTTAAATGTGGGTAACTAACTATCTGGTCAGTTTTTATACATTCTAAGATTATTGTACTAAGTGTAAAGTTTAAATTGAATGTTATATAAACGCTTGCTTTAAAAAGTTATTAAATTGTTAAAACACAATGTCCGTAATTCTTCATCAGACGTTTATGCTTCTTTCCAAGTAACAGCAAAACTTATTTACACACATACTGCATATATATTTCAAAAATTTATATTTAAATGCATAATTTTTTTTTGTTTTTTTTTTGTTTTTGTTTTTTTATGGGACTCAAAAAATGCAAGAACAGCGCCACCTACAACAGCCAATGGGAGCTTCAGAGGTCAAGTTTGTCGTAGAGCCATGAAATTCGGTACACATGTTCCTCAAGTCAAGATACGACCAAAATGTTATCATGGCTCCGCCCTCTGACAAACAGGAAGCCCATAAATGTCACTGCAAAATGGAAAAATGATCCGCAATCATTTTCATACATGTCGGTTGGAAAGCGACTCCTCCTCGGCCGTTTCACAGATTTTCCTCAAAATTGCTCCATATCATCTCAACACATGTACCTTCAAAATGACCTCAGGGATTTTTGATCAGTGAAACGTTGTTTGAGCAGCGGAGCGGCAAAATGTGACCTTTTTTGGCCGTTTTTGACAACATTAATTTTGCTCCCGTTTGCACAAACAAAGTCTGATTTGCACAAAACTTGAATCCAATGTTCAACTCATGGCTACAGCAACAAGTCATCACACGGCGGTCCCACCTCCTTTGCGCGGGCTGCGTGGTACGGTGTGGTGCGGCGTAGTGCGGGGCGTTGTGGAGCGGCGCGTTGCGGCTTGGTGTGGGGTGGCGTGGTGCAGATCCGCTTGGTGCGGGGGGCTTGGTGCGGAGCGGCTTAATGCGGGGCAGCTTGGTGCTGGGCGGCTTGGTGCTGGGCGGCTTGGTGCTGGGCGGCTTGGTGCGGGGCGGCTTGGTGCGGGGCGGCTTGGTGCGGGGCGGCTTGGTGCTGGGCGGCTTGGTGCTGGGCGGCTTGGTGCTGGGCGGCTTGGTGCTGGGCGGCTTGGTGCGGGGCGGCTTGGTGCTGGGCGGCTTGGTGCTGGGCGGCTTGGTGCTGGGCGGCTTGGTGCGGGGCGGCTTGGTGCTGGGCGGCTTGGTGCGGGGCGGCTTGGTGCTGGGCGGCTTGGTGCGGAGCGGCTTGGTGCTGGGCGGCTTGGTGCTGGGCGGCTTGGTGCTGGGCGGCTTGGTGCGGAGCGGCTTGGTGCGGAGCGGCTTGGTGCGGAGCGGCTTGGTGCGGAGCGGCTTGGTGCGGGGCGGCTTGGTGCTGGGCGGCTTGGTGCTGGGCGGCTTGGTGCTGGGCGGCTTGGTGCTGGGTGGTGCGCGCGGGGCGGCAAGGGCTGTACAACGCCGCTTGCGGCTTTAATTTCTTTCTTCTGCACTTTGAGCCTTAATTTAACCCCCTGAACATGCATGAAAAGTTGTTACATTTTGGCCAAACATCAGACCTGGTGAAAAATTTGATATTTTGGGGTTTCTTTTTATGGGACTCAAAAAATGCCAGAACAGCGCCACCTACAACAGCCAATGGGAGTTTCAGAGGTCAAGTTTGTCGTAGAGCCATGAAATTTGGTACACATGTTCCTCAAGTCAAGACAAGAAAATAATATTATTATGGCTCCGCCCTCTGACAAACAGGAAGCCCATGGGAACTGCAAAATGGAAAAATGAACAGCAGTAGTTTTCATACATGTCGGTTGGAAACTATCTCCTCCTCGGCCGTTTCCCCGATTTGCCGCAAAATCGCTCCACATCATCTCAACAGATGTACCTTCAAAATTACCAAAGGGATTTTTGATCAGTGAAACGTTGTTTGAGCAGCGGAGTGGCAAAATGTGACCTTTTTTGGGCGTTTTTGACATTATTTTAATATGCTCCCGTTTGCACAAACAAAGTCTGATTTGCACAAAACTTTAATACATTGTTCAACTCTAGGGTCTAGGTCATTTGAAAGTGAAATGATTCAAATTGACACATTAGCGCCACCTACAGACTATTTCAAAGTTTTAGATGGGCATTTTCAAATTTAGTTTTTTCAAAATGTTTGAAATTTTGCACATAAATCTGTTTTGCCCTCTTGATTCAAAAAGTCAATAGGGTCCAAGGCTTATTTTTTACCCTGTTGCCGTGGCGACAACAAACGCTCCCCATCCATTGTCTATGGCAAATGTACACCTCCCACAAACATCAAACCAGCCTCGGCCGTTTCACAGATTTAGCCAAAAATCTGCGAGGGCCGTTCAACGCCGCTTGCGGCTTTAATTTCCCTTTATCTTTCCCGTTACCATTCAAGTATTTCTGTAAAAATGAGCAGGCCAAAGAAAAGGAAAGTGGACGTTGAATGCCGTGTGTTTAATAAAGAGTGGACGACAACATATTTTTTCACTGAAGTACGATCAATATCAGCCGTCACTTCACCACGAAACACGCAAACTATGCTAGAAAGCAGTCAACGCAAGAACGGGCTGCTACTGAGGGCTGGCAGCTGAGCTACAGGCTCGGCAGCATCTCTTTCACAGACAAACTGCAATTCAAGAAGCAAGTACCGAGGCAAGTTTCTTGCTGGCATTCAAGTTGGTGAAGGCTCGTAAGCCTTTTTCCGAAGGCGAATTTACGAGAGTAAACGAGAGTTTTGAGATAACAGAGGAGCTTTTGAGCATGGAGTCGCTGAAGGGGAAAACGCGAGGAGAGGACTTGTATGAACAGGTGTCCGCTGTCATCGAGAGAAGGAATCTACCGTGGAGTAAACTGGCCAACGTCACCACAGATGGATCGCCAAATTTAACTGGAAAAAACTTCGGGCTGCTTAAAAGAATTCAGGATAAAGTGAAAGGGGAAAACCCTGTGCAGAATGTTGTTTTCCTTCACTGCATCATTCACCAGGAGTCTCTGTGTAAGTCTATATTGCAGCTTAATCATGTCGTGGATCCAGTTGTTAAACTTGTTAATTTCATACGTGCAAGAGGCCTTAATCATCGTCAGTTCGTTACGTTCTTAGAGGAAACCGATGCGGCTCATCAGGACCTACTTTACCACTCCCGTGTCCGCTGGTTAAGTTTGGGGAAAGTGTTGCAACGAGCGTGGGAGCTCAAAGAGGAGATAAGCTCGTTTTTGGAGTTAAAGGAAAAATCCGAAGAATTTCCCGAGCTGAGTGACGAGAACTGGCTTTGTGACTTTGTGTTTGCTGTGGACATTTTCTCACACTTGAATGAGCTGAACGTGAAGCTACAGACGAACCTGTACACAAATGTGACAGCCTTCAAATCCAAGATGATTTTATTCTCCAGACAAATGACAAACAAATCTTTCACTCATTTCCCCACACTAGCCACGCTGAAAGAGGCCACCCGTAACACGAAGAAATACTGCAAATCACTGGACGACCTGCAAAGAGAATTCTGCCGTTGGTTTTCTGATTTTGAAAAAATTGAGAAGTCACTCCAGCTGGTGTCCTGTCCCCTGTCATAAGACCCTGGCACCGCGCCGCAGGAGCTGCAATTGGAACTGATCGATCTTCAGTCTGACTCTGCCTCCAGGGAGAACTTCAAGTCCCTTAAACTGAATGACTGTTGCGCTTCACTTAAAGAAGCTATACCCGATTTTTTTTCTAAGTAGTTGATAAAAATGCTTTTTACTACATACAAGTTGTATTATAATACATAATTTAATTGAAAACTTGAGGTAATTGATTCAGCTGTGTACTGTATGAAATTCAGGCAGTGAAAAGTGCTGAGTAGAGTCTGAGCGGGACGTTCTCCTCCACTCACAGAACGAGCAGCGAACAGCCTGCGTCCTCTGCCTCTACAGCGCTGCTTAACACCAGGGCTTCAACTTCAAAATTAAAAAATTAAAAAATATATATATATATTTGACCAAATATTAGACAACCCTTACAATTCGAAATGTATTTAATGACTGCAAATAAAATAGTTAGCTCCCAAAGGTTTCACCGGGACGTGCTAGGCAGGTAACAGCTAAGCTAGCTAGCTGTTTCACGGTAACTTTCGGGTTTTTCGCAATCACTTTTTGTCACTTTAAAACAGTATTTTTGTCACGAAAACGTTGACAGCAAATTCTGAAATTGTCCGTGCATGTGTGTTAAGGATGTATATGTATACTGTATTGTCTGATTGACGTTTAATGGTGTTGATTGATTGATATGTATTTGTTTATTGAGCGTGGCTAGCTCCGCTAGCTTCTCTACACAGACAAGTGTGCAGAAAAACTGCACAATGTAGTGACAGGCGCTGATAGCTTGTTGTACTTGCAGAGTAATGGCAGTATTTTACACACCTGAATCACAAACAGAGAGTGCATTGTGGCTGCGGTCATTATTGATTTGAGAGTTCTGTTATTAAGAAAAAAATTATCGGAAGAATTGCATTCAAGTCAATGGAGTGTTCTACTGCTGCTGTGAGGAGCTGTATAATAAATTAAATATTAGAATATATTCTAATGTTTAAATTAATACATTCGGACGTGAAACTAATGGTATTCTTTTACTGATATATTGTGTTAGCAGTGCATTGCTTTAGTGCCATTTAATCAGTGATCGTTGTACAGCTTACAAGTTGCGCTAATGCTAATGTTAGCATACGTATCAGATCGCAAATAAAACTAGGTGGCTCGTGTTATGAGAGCGTAGGGGAAATGAGAAGCCATTGAGTCGATAATAAGACTGGACTAAGAACAAGAATGAACATTTGCTTCAGTCAGTGAGGAAGGACTGCTTCATATTTGTAATGAGCACCTTTTTCAGACTTCAAAAACAAAGACGGTGAAAGAAAAGGCCAATCTAGGACATTCAGCTCCAGCAAACTTCAGCCTGTGATGAGATGGATATGAACAGACTGTGATGCAAAAATCTGATTTATTTACGCTATTTATACAACTGCATGAAGACAAAAAATGTAAGTTAAAGTGAAAGCAGAGTCGTCACGTGGTGCGTCACTCTCTCCAGGACACGCTGCAGTGAAAATACACATTTATAATCATGAATGCTTTTTTTTCTCCGTCGAGCACAGACGTGTCTCAGACCGCTCCTGCTTCTGACCGCTTGCTCTCTCTTGTTTTTGTCTTTTTCCTGGAGTTTTGCCACAGACAACTCTAACAAGAATTATGGAAGTCATTAACTGGTCCCTCAACGCAATTGACACTATTTTTTCAACGCGTAAGCGTGGGTCTGGAGAGCCCTTGTGCCCGGACGGGACTTCACCTGCGGGGTATACTCTTGACATCTGGAACACGTTTCAGCCCCTCTGTCTGTCGGTCCTGTCTATTCAAGATTCGGAAGACGTATATATTAGTGCTGTCCAACGATTAAAATATTTAATCGCGATTAATCGCAAATTAGTCACACATTTGTATCTATTCTTTATGTCCCTTGAATTAATTAAAATAAAATAAAAAAAAAAATAATAATAAAATAAAATAAAAAATGAATGAATAAGTAGATAAATATAATAATAACATGAATAATATGTGCATATAATAATATTACACAAGTCAGGGTAAGCGAAAGATTATTTTAATGCATGACACGTTTAGTTAAGAAAAACACTTAGGAAAAAGGAACAAAATAAAAGAGGAAATGGGCCGGGCGTGGGCTCCCTCCCCCCCTTTTTGGGGTGGGGGCCTGCTTGGGGGTCTGTGTGTGTGTCGGATTTGGTTTTGATGTTGGCTGGGTTCCGCTTAAGCCTAGTTTATACTCGCGCGGCGCGGAGCTTACGGAGGTGACGAGACGTCACTTGCGCAACGCGTTGGTCACCGCAAGGCCCTTACGTCGCCTGCCGCGCAGCATCGAAATTTTCTAACTACGTAAGGGTCGCCGCAAGGAATCTCCGCTGTGATTGGTCCGTGTGTGTGTATTGGAAGGAAGCATGAAGCGGCTGCAGCAGGGACATGGACGAGGCTCTATGGAGCAGAGAGCTTCAAACTTTGAAGGAACCAAAGGAAAAGTAGTTTGGGCTCAGAGCCTGATATACAGGAGACTGTGGACTATCTAACATATATATAACTTATATCTAACATATATATAACTTATATCTAACATATATATAACTTATATCTAACATATATATAACTTATATCTAACATATATATAACTTATAAACTGTTCCTGTCTTGTTTGAATCGTAGCTGCGTTTGTTGCTTTCCTCCTGCACTCGTAAATCGTTCATGTTTGTCTCAGATATTTACCACTATTATTGTTTTGCTGTTTGTGCTGAAAACTATTTAATAATAACTATGTTTCCAACAAGAACTGTATCTTTATTCACAGCATCACAGTTGAAATGACTTATAAAATAATGAATCCATAAAACTATCACATAAACCTACAGTAGAAACACGTGTAATGAGCTCAAACAGCTTTGTTTGTTATTGTTGTTCTGAAGAGGACAAAGTAGCAGCGTAAATGGGACCGCTCCTGTGTGATCGCCCTCATGTGGTTTGTTGTGGGATTACAACATTCTCCTCAAAACTCCGTAAGGGGAACGCGCCAGTATAACATCAATTGTGCTTACGTAGGTCCACCGCAACCGCTAACGTAAGCCACGCCGCGCAAGTATACACTAGGCTTTAGCTTGGTGAAACTCAGGCGGGCAGACTTTATATCTTATCTTATCTGTGGTGTGTATGTGTGTGTGTGTGTGGAGTGTGTGTGTTTATGGGTGTGGGTGTGTGTGTGTATGTGTGGGTATAGACCATAGACTGTATAGAAACATCATGGTGTCATTATGATGATGATAAACAATCTGTAAATATTTTGTAAATTTGTTCATGTAAATACTCTATGCTGTTTCTCTGTTTACTTTCGGTATATTTATGACTGTATACTGTTTGCTTGTATTGCCTTTTTTAATAACCCCTCCCCCCCATCTCCCACTTCATGTCCCCCCCCCTTCCTATGTGCCCTTCTGGGTTTCTTCTTTGGCCCCCATGTATCTCCAACTACATATTGTTTGTAATCTCTGTCTACAATGTACCTGAACTAGTGCTTTTCTTTGTTTCTATTTTTTTTTATCTGTATATGTGTTTGTCTGCAATAAAAAGTAAAAAAAAAATGTAATCGCGCGATAAAAAAAATTACGCCGTTAATATTGATTTGCGTTAACGCGTTAATAACGCGATATTTTGGACAGCACTAGTTTAAATTAATACATTCGGACGTGAAACTAATGGTATTCTTTTACTGATATATTGTGTTAGCAGTGCATTGCTTTAGTGCCATTTAATTAGTGATTGTTGTACAGCTTACAAGTTGTGCTAATGTTAGCATACGTATCAGATCGCAAATAAAACTAGGTGGCTCGTGTTATGAGAGCGTAGGGGAAATGAGAAGCCATTGATTCGATACTAAGACTGGACTAAGAACAAGAATGAACATTTGCTTCAGTCAGTGAAGAAGGACTGCTTCATGTTTGTAATGAGAAGTTTTATTGCAACACGAGGAACAATGAAGTGCAAAACACCGTTCAGTGTGATTACATGAAGGATTCTTTCATACAAAATTCAGAGCACCTTTTTCAGACTTCAAAAACAAAGACGGTGAAAGAAAAGGCCAATCTAGGACATTCAGCTCCAGCAAACTTCAGCCTGTGATGAGATGGATATGAACAGACTGTGATGCAGGTGTGTGACCTCTGAGCCAAAAATCTGATTTATTTACGCTATTTATACAACTGCATGAAGACAAAAAATGTAAGTTAAAGTGAAAGCAGAGTTGTCACGTGGTGCGTCACTCTCTCCAGGACACGCTGCAGTGAAAATACACATTTATAATCATGAATGCTTTTTTTTCTCCGTCGAGCACAGACGTGTCTCAGACCGCTCCTGCTTCTGACCGCTTGCTCTCTCTTGTTTTTGTCTTTTTCCTGGAGTTTTGCCACAGACAACTCTAACAATTATGGAAGTCATTAACTGGTCCCTCAACGCAATTGACACGATTTTTTCAACACGTAAGCGAGGACCGGGGGAGCCCGTGTGCCCGGACGGGACTGCACCTGCGGGGTATACTCTTTACATCTGGAACACGTTTCAGCCCCTCTGTCTGTCGGTCCTGTCTATTGAAGATTCGGAAGACGTATATATCTTTGGAATTCTGGTGGTGGGGATCCTCCTTTTCGGGTTTGGAGCGGCCCTTTTCTACTGCAAATTTGGAAGCATGGCAAGGCAAGCCAAGTTTATTTGTATA